CCGCCGAGCAGGGAGCCTGATGCGGGACTCGATCCCAGGACCCTGGGATCATGACCTGAGCCGAAGGCAGACGCTTAACGACTGAGCCACCCAGGGGCCCCTGCCTTGTATTTTCTTAAACTATAAGTCTATAGATGGATTCCTTTCAAGAGTCCAATAATGGCAATCACAGAGAAGGATCAAAAATACTATACACCGCTTGTGTGACATCTCATATTCAAAGAATCTGAAGTTCTTCAAAATGACAAATTCGACAATCCAGTCACAAACTAATAGCAGCTAGTGGATTAAAAGCCATAAAGATCATTTAGTCAAAGAAAATAAAAGGTCATGGCCCTATACTGCAAGCAGAATTACAAAGGCTTACAATTTCTCTGGAAGTGATATACAAAGGTCCTTAAAAATGTTCATACCCATTGACCAGTAATTCTACTTCCAGGAATATGTTCTAAAGAATAATTTTATATATAGTATAAAAAAATTAACATAAAAGAATGCTTATAATAGTGAAACCTTAGAAACAATCTAAATGTACAATTATGAAATAATTTTTAAAAATATGAAATATTATGCAACCATTAATATTTCTGAAGACTAGTGATAATGGAAAATGTCTGCAATATCATGTGAAGTGAAGAAATGGACACAAATTTTATGAAGAAAACATACTAATTTGTATTCATAGAAAAAGCCTAGAAAAAATATACAAACAAATATTAAAAGGGGTTATCTCTGGGTGGTAGAATAGGTAGGTCTTTTTTTCCTTTTACTTTTTGGTACTTATTAAAACTTTACGATGAACATATATTACACTTATTATCACAAAAATTATTTAGAAAACAAAGTGAAAGTGAATGCCTTCTAAACTTGTAAGAAAAATGAACAATGCTCAGATAATATCATAAACAAACATTTGGCAGGAATTTAGTACAAAAGGACAAAAGGTTTACCAACCCAGAGAAAAGGCAATATGGCATCTTTGATGCTGGTTTCCTATCCTTGTATCCTAGTTACAATTTACCACTAAATCAAAGGACATGTTCTAAATTTCATATGTACGTAATGGCTGTAATGTAAAAAATCAGTATTTCCGTCTCAGGGTGGTTAATTTAATTCCTATTTGGTTGCATTATTTTTACCTGAAAAATAGCCAATTGCCTTACATAGGTGGAAGGAGAAAAACTTAGCTGGTTAAGTGGGGGAAAGCTCACTTTATCCACAGGAAGGTGGAAAGAGATAAAACATGGGTGGAAAATATTTCTGAACCTATTTACAAAATTCCTCTAGTCCATCATGTGCCTTGTTAGTCTGCAGGGAAACATACCGACAGATGTGTCCTCCTTCACAGACCCTGTTATGTGGCCCAGCAGTGACTGACATTTAGAAATGACTGAAGAGAGCTCAGCTGGGTTGCTGACTTTTAGAATTCAAATGCTGAAAATATCAAGGGAAAGGGGAGAAGTGCCATGCTAACTAAATACAGACAATTTACTTTAACTACACTAAAGATTTCTTTATTAATCTGTTGATAATGCAGAAGTAGTGAAGATACTTGCAATTTAGAAGCTGCACTTCACAGTTTCCAGTGTATGATTAAAAGCCAGAATATTAAAAATTAGCTTTTTCTTCCCTGAGAGAAAATTATGATGGATCATGGTTTCAAAAAAAATCTATACTGATCTAACAGAAATATTCAGAACATTCCACCCTAAAACAACAGAATACACATTCTTTTCGAGTGCACACAGAACAGTCTCCAGAATAGATCACATATCAGGCCACAAAACTAGTCTCAACAAATTCAAAAAGATTGAAGTCATACCATGCACCTTTTCTGACCACAACACTATGAAACTAGAAATCAACCGTAAGAAAAAAATCTGGAAAGAACACAAATACGTGGAGGTTAAATAACATGCTACTCAACAATGAATGGTCACTCAAGAAATCAAAGAAGAAATAAAATATTACATGGAGACAAAGGAAAATGAAAACACAAAAGGTCCAAAATCTTTGGGATGCAGCAAAAGCTGTTCTAAGATGGAAGTTATAGTAACACAGGCCTACCTCAGGAAGCAAGAAAAATCTCAAATAAACAACCTAACATTACACCTAAAGAAGCTAGAAAAAGAACAAACAAAACCCAAACCCAGCAAAAGGAAGGAAATACTAAAGATCAGAGCAGAAATAAATGAAATAGAAACAAAAAAACAATAGAACAGATCAATGAAACCAGGAGCTGGTTCTGTGAAAAGATCAATGAAACTGATAAACCTTAACCAGAATCATCGAAGAGAGAGAGAGAAGTCAAATAAACGAAATCAGAAATGAAAGAGGAGAAAAAACAACCAACACCACTGAAATACAAAGGATTATATGAGAATATTGTGAAAAATTTTATGCCAACAAATTGGGCAACCTGGAAGAAATGGATAAATTCCTAGAAACATATAACCTCTTAAAACAGAATCAGGAAGAAATAGAAAATTTGAACAGACTGATTACCAGCCATGAAATTGAATCAGTAATCAAAATAAACTCCCAACAAACAAAAGTCCAGGACCAGATGGATTCACAGATGAATTCTACCAAACATTTCAAAAACAGTTAATACCCATTCTTCTCAAACTATTCCAAAAAATAGAAGAGGAAGGAAAGCTTCCAAATTCATTCTATGAAGCCAGCATTACCCTGATACCAAAACCAGATAAAGAAACTAGACACACACACACACACACACACACAGCTGCAGGCCAATATCTCTGATGAACATAGATGCAAAAATCCTCAATAAAATATTAGCAAACAGAATCCAAGAATACATTAAAATAGCCATTCAGCACAATCAAGTGGGATTTATTCCTGGGATGCAAAGGTGGTTCGGTATTTGCAAATCAATCAATGTGATATATCACATCAATAAGAGAAAGGATAAAAACCATATGATCATTTCAATAGGTCCAGAAAAAAGCATTTGACAAAGTACAACATCCATTCATGATAAAAACCTTTAACAAAGTAGGTTTACAGGGAACATACCTCAACATAATAAGGCCTTATATATTAAAAAAAAAAAAAAAAAACCCCACAGCAAACATCATATTCAATGGGGAGAAACGCTTTCCCCCTAAGATCAGGAACAAGACAAGGATGTCCACTCTCACCACTTTAATTCAACATAGTACTGGAAGTCCTAGCCACAGCAATCAGACAACAAAAATGGACTAAAAGTCATCCAAATTGGTAAGGAAGAGGTAAAAACTTTCACTATTTGCAGATGACATGATACTAGACATAGAAACCCCTAAAAATTCCACCAAAAACTACTGGAACTAATAAATGAATTCAGTAAAGTTGCACTGCATTTCTGTACACTAATAATAAAGTAGCAGAAATAGAAATTAAGAAAACAGTCCCATTTACAATTACACCAAAAATAATAAAATATGTAGGAATAACCCTAACCAAGGAGATAAAGACCTGTGCTCTGAAAACTATAAAACATTAATGAAAGAAATTGAAGAGGACACAAAGAAATGGAAAGACATTCCATGCCCATGGATAGAAAAAACAAATATTGTTAAAATGTCCATATTACCCAAAGCAGTCTAAACATTTAATGCAATCCCTATCAAAATACCAACAGCATTTTTCACAAAACTAAAACAAATAATCCTAAAATGTGTAGGGAACCACAAAAGACCCCAAATTGCCAAAGCAATCTTGAAAAAGAACAAAACTGGAGGTATCACAATCCCAGATTTCAACATACACTACAAAGCTGTAGTAATCAAAAACAGTGTGGTACCTGCCCAAAAATAGACACATAGTTCAATAGAACATAATAGAGAGACAGAAATAAAACCACAATTATATAGCCAATTAATCTTCAACAAAGGAGGCAAGAATATGCAATGGGAAAAAAAACAGTCTCTGACAAATGGTGTTGGGAAAACTGGACACCTACATGCAAAAGAATGAAACTGGGCCACTTTCTTACACCATATACAAAAATAAACTCAAAATGGATTAAGGACCTAAATGTGAGACCTGAAACCATAAAAATCCTTGAAGAGAGCACAGGCAGTAATTTCTCTGACATCGGCCGTAGCAATTTGTCTAGTTATGTCTCCTGAGGCAGGGAAAACAAAAGCAAAAATAAACTACTAGGACTACATCAAAATAAAAAGCTTCTGCACAGCAGAGGAAGCAATCAACAAAACTAAAATACAACCTGTGGAATGGGAGAAGATATTTGAAAATGACATATCTGATCAATGGATAGTATCCAAAATTTATAAATAACTTATACAACTCAACACCAAAAAACACATAATCCAACTTAAAAATAGGAAGAAGACATCAAGAGGCATTTCTCCAAAGAAGACCTGCAGACAGCCAACAGACACATGAAAAGATGCTCAACATCACTCATCATCAGGAAAATGCAAATCAAAACCACAATAAGACTCATACCTGTCAGAAAGGCTAAAATCAACAACACAAGAAACAACAGGTGTTGGCGAGGATGTGGAGAAAGGAGAATCCTTATGCACTGTTGGTGGGAATGTAAACTGGAGCAGCCAATATGGAGAACAGTATGGAGGTTCCTCGAAAAATTAAAAATAGAACTACCATATAATCCAGTAATTCCACTTCTGGCTATTTATCCAAAAAATAGGAAAACATTAACTTGAAAAGACACATGCACCCCTATGTTTATACAGCATTACTTAAAATAGCCAAATTATGGAAGCAGCCCAAGTGTCCCTCAATAGAAGAACAGATAAAGAAGATGTGTTGTGTGTGTATAAATATAGCAATATTATTCAGGCATAAAAAAGAATGAAATTGGGGTGCCTGGGTGGCTCAGTTGGTTAAGCATCCGCCTTCGGCCCAGGTCATGATCCCAGGGTCCTGGGATTGAGCCCCACATCGGGCTCCCTGCTCAGCGGGAAGTCTGCTTCTCCCTCTCCCTCTGCCTGCCTCTCTGCCTACTTGTTCTCTCTCTCTATCTCTATGTCAAATAAATAAATAAAATCTTTAAAAAAAAAAAGAGAATGAAATCTTGCCATTTGCAACAACATGGATAGATCTAGAGGATAAGATATAACATTAAGTGAAATAAGTCAGTCAGAAAAATACAAATACCATATGATGTTAATTTAAGAAACAAAACAAATAAATAAAGGAAAAAGAGACAAAAAAAAAAAAACAGACTTAACTACAGAGAAGAAACTGGTGGTGACCAGAGGGGAGATGGGTGGGGGGATGGGTAAAACAGGTGAAGGAGATTAAGAGTACACTTATCATGATGAGCAGAGTAATGTATAAAATTGTTCAATCACTGTATTTTACACCTGAAACTCATATAACATTGTATGTTAATTATACCGGAATTAAATTTTTTTTTAAATCTAGAAATTGTTAAATATGACAGGACACGGAGACAGGATGCTGCTGTACCTGTGACAGCCCCTCTTGGAGCTCAGGCTCCACTCGCTCCCTTGTTCCTATAGTTCATTTTAATTAGCTTCTGCATGAGAGGAGGGACTTCGTCCCGCTTCTAGAGTTTTCTTTTCCTTCCCTCCCACCACACCCAGTGTAATGCACGTGGCCTCTCCACACCTTCCATCATGGGTCCCAAGGGAGAAGCTGGACCTGAATCTCCTGGGTCCAGGAGCCTGCCCATTTGCTGGGTCCCTCCGAGCTGCAACTTTGACATGGAGGTTCAGCCACGGGAACCCACCTCAAGCACCCAGCTCTTGGCCTGTCCACCTGGCTTTTTGTACCTGTGGGAACTTTCCAGTGAGGCGGCTCTGTGACCTCCAAAGTGGATGTCTTTAGAGCAACCTTACCTTTAACTGGGCCCCCTGACAAGTGTCCAGATTTCAAATGACAGTACAGCTTCATCTGCCCTCTCTCCTTAGGACGGCCTGTCTCCTCACAGACAGGACTCTCCGAGAATCTCCCACCACATCAGTACAGGAGGAGACCTCCCGGGAGACTCACCGTTGGCACGCCTTCCCCACGACATGCTCTCGGCAATGGCATGTTCCCGAGGGCCCGCCGCACAGGGGGGTGACAGCTCCACCGATGTCACACTGACACCCTGCAGGTCAAGAAACAGTAGCAGTGACCCATCATAGCATCTCCATGCTGAAGCTTTCCCTCCTTCTCTGACAAGCAGAAATCAGTAAGGACAGGGCTGCTTCTTAGCCCTGCCACATCTCATAGCCTGCGGATGTTAGAAACACGTAGGGAGGTGGGAGGTGCCCCCCAAAGCCCACTTGTAAGCTGGGGGTACACCTGGACGTCAGCCCCAACACTGCTGTCCAGCGTAAGGGGCCAGGAGCCCGGGAGCTAAACACAATGTAGCAGCATAGTGCTCTTGTAACCAACCGCTGCTACTGAGAGTCCGTGGCAGAGATCCAACAGCAGCTTTGTGGGGCCACACACCTGCAGGTGTATTTAACACAGTATTACCTCTAAAATCGGGTGCAAGCTGTTTGGATAATACAAAATACATCTTCCAAATGACTAAGTCTTGATGCTACCTGCGAAATTAACAGACGCCTCCCCCTCCGTCCCAATGATGTTTTCTCTAATTAAACCAACAACGTGCTGGGAGAAGAGAAGTAGAAGCAGCCCCAACTGCAATTTATTACTCGTCTCGACTGAGTATTTGGCCAAATTCCCTGGAAAAGAATATTTAGCCCCATCCCATCAGAAAGACTGCAGGAAGACAAAACTGAGACGAGAGATTATCCCGGCAGTCTTTGCCCACCAACACTGGCTTTCCTCAGGAGCCACTGGAACTATTTACCTTGACACCCAAAGTAATTGCTCTTTTCCAAAGCAAAATATCCATCTTCACACGTATCACAGGAATCGCCACTGACGTGGGACTTGCAGTGACAGTCACCATCTCGCTGCAGAATAAGCCAGATGACACAATTTGGTAAAATCGCACAATTCGCTCATCTTCAAGATTTAAAACTGACTCGCTGTGTAACATGAGCAGTTAGCGAGGATCTGAAAATGTCCAGAGAGATTAGCACACCCCGTACAATCACAGAGGCACTAATCCCCTCCCACAGACACCCCACCATCCGCTGTTCTAACGTTGCCCTGGTTTACGGACGATAGGCCGCGTTACCTGCCCACACTCTCCGATTCCACTCACTGTTCCTGCCACGTGGCACTGGCATTCTGTGAAGAGAAGAGAGCGTTCTTGGACCAAGGCCGCCCAGAGGACAGCCCTTGGCTCTGGAAACATGACACAGCAGCTACGTGACATGTGGGGTCACTGTCAGGCACACCTCAGCAGAATTCCCGTTGGCTCCGTTGAAGCCTAAAATGGGACTGCTTTTTGGGGTCAGCAGAACCACCAGATCAATACCATCCACCTACAAGGAGTAATGGCTAGTTGATGACCGCTCTAAGACAAAAGCTGCAACATCATAGGATTTTTAAATGATTCTAATGTCAAGGTCATTACTGATATGCTTACATGAAAACATACTCTAGGGGTCCCTGGGTGGCTCAGTTGGTTAAGCATCTGCCTTCGGCTCAGGTCATGATCCTGGGGTCCTGGGATCGAGCCCCACGCCCCAGTGGGGCTCCCTGCTCAGCGGGGAGTCTGCTTCTCCCTCTGCCTCTGCCCCTCCCCCCTGCTTGTGCACTCGCACTTTCTCTCTCTCAAATAAATAAATAAAATCTTTAAAAAAAAAAAAAAAGAAGAAAACATTATTTAAGGACATATCCACTCCACTTAACTACCTTTAGCTTGGTGTTTTTAAGTTCCTGTCCTGGCTTCAATCTAAGCATAAAATGAAAATAAAATCAAACCCAAAAGAGGGGTTATAAAAAACAAGGCAATATAAACCATTTATCAAGTAGCTGCCTTTGCAAACAACAAAATGCATATGGAAATGGGATATAAATCCCTTGCTGAGATTTTCAAAATGATAGAAGTTCTGCCAAAAGCAGGGGAAAAAACATCAAAACATTTACACGAGATTTCAGACAAACTGAACTTATTAAATAAATAGCTCTTTTGTGGGTTTAGTCACTGAAGTAGAGAAAATTAAAAGGAATTTGCAATATAGTAAATTATTATGTGTAAAAACCTCACCTGAACATCCATGGGGGTTTTCTTTGGCCAGATTCCAATATAATGGTTTGCAGATGCTACAAGAAGGACTTTCAACATGAGCTTTGCATTGGCAATATCCCTTTAAAAGAAAATCAAATTAACACTTGACATCTCAAAATTAAGACATGTTTTCAAACATATGTTCTGAACAAAGCTTGTCACAGAATTATATTTTGAAAAGTAAATTAAGTGTACCCAGAGGGGAAAAAAAGTACTCTGTTGATTTCAACAGACTGCTCATGGCTTTAGTTTTAGTCTTCTTTTATTTTTTTCTACACATAATCCATATTTGTGGTTAAAACAAAATCGGAAAATACAGAAAAAGAGACATTTAAAAATCACTTTTATTGTTAACATTGTCATTATCTGTTGATTCTGGGACAGCAAGAACAACTCCTTTAAATGGAAAAGTATCTGAATACTTAACATGTTGAGGATTAGTAGAGAATGATGTTTATCTGAAAGTACTTTTGTAAGATGCAAGAGTCACTGCCTCATTGTAAGGACGCAGAACCTCTCTTCCTCAGTCCCTCGAATGCCTGGAGGTCCACCATCTCCAGGCTTTGAAGCTAAGAAGACAGAGCATTTCTAAAGCACTTAGAAACCTCCTCGGAATACCTGGTATTCACAATATCACATATGCACTTTGAACAAGAACAGTGACCTCTTTTGCAATTTGGCTTCGGGTCTTATTTTAACGGACTTTTTATTTCGGGAAGCTCCCAAATGTGTTAGTCTGTAACATGTATCCAAATACATCAGTTAGAATTGTAACCCTTTTATAATCCTCTACTTACCGAACTGGAGTCCAGGGTACCAGCTGGGTCACAGGCACTGCTGGAACCTGCACATGATTTAGAAATATGGCTTGTTTTAGTGTTTTCAAGTTTTAAAAGTTTTATTTGTTTTTAAAAACAATGCACCTATATTTGTATTTCTTGATAGATGGGTGGCAAGGACTGTGCGTGCAATTCAGAAAAAGGCACACCTCGAATAACCTTTAGAGTCCTTAATCCCCAAAACACCCCTTTTGCCACTTACCTCCATCCCCCTGCCTACTACTCATTTCTGACTGATCATGAAGGAGATTGGGGAAAAGATTCCAGAATTTTGAACGACTTTTAGGATTGTCCAGAAGAGGGCAATATTGTACCAAGAGACTTTTTAATTGTCCACTAAATAGAAGCTACAGATTTGTTTAAGTACATTTTTTGGTCACGCAAGACTTAATTCTTTAATTATCACAATCCCCTTGCTACCCACTTGTACTAAAATTATTTCTAAAATGAATTAGCTTGTTCTCCTGCCTTAGTCAATACAGTATTACAAGCCCAACAGAATCTCTCTTCAATAAAGGAGGATCTTGCAAAGTCTCAGCATTACTATTATACAGTAGTATGGCTATTAGAAGGAAGAGGGTTTGGGTAAGAATGCCCTAGCCTTCTCAAACGCAAAATGTCCCCTCTGACTACTGGCTACAATTTCTACCGGCAAGAAAACCCGGTCCCTTGAGGATTCTGGTGAGTGAGGTTCTGGGGAATCAGGTTGGCGCTGGGGCCCTGTCTTCAGACAGCTCGGAATGCAGAGCTCAGAGCGCTACCAAGAGCAGGAAGGAGTCAGAGAAAGCCATAATCTCCAAGTGGAAAGTCTGGTGCAGGCTTCCTCAAATACCTCTTCTCAACAGGGAAAGGGACCTCTAAAGCCGTTGCCGGAGCTCCTCGCCCCTGGAGGCTGCATGCCCCCAAGAGCACAAGGAGATGCGACAGGCATCTTATTTCTGTGCCCCCTGCTGCAGAGTACGGCAGACTCTCAACGTCTCCTACGGGGGGGGCGGGGAGGGGAGGGTATTAACCAAACAGACTAGGTCACCCCCCTCCCCTTCCACCTATGCTGTGTGAGGACAATGCCCCCAGGAGGCGGGGCAGCGACACAGCATAGGTCGTGTTCTGCCTGCTAGCAAGGGGACGTGCTATCGCTTCTCGGCCTTTTGGCTAAGATCAAGTGCAAGGGCACCTGCTAGAGTCACCCCTCAGGGGATTCCGGAACAGCCAGCATCAATGCTGCGAGCCTGGAACCAGAGAGAAGCCAGGGTGCCTTGGGAAGGGGTCAAGGAACACTTGGGGTAGCTCAAAGGGGTCACCTTGGCCACACTGTTATACACAGGAATTGACATGCAAATCAAGGAATATAAATTCATAATACATGGGAATTTAAAAAAATTTGTAGGAATAAATCATCTCTGATTTCCTTTGAGGACACATTATCTGATACATGCATTTTCAATGGACACGAACTGGGGAGGAACCAGGCAGATGAGGGTCAAACGTGTAGAGGCGACCAGTGGTGGGTCCCCTAGGCTTGTCTGGGAGTCTGGCTGCACACATTTCAGAGAGGAACCGACCCTCTGGCATTCTGATGTCTTCCCTACCTTGGCAGTGAGGGAAATCATAGGCTCCTGAGAGACACCTGTCACACCGCTGTCCTGTAATCCCTGGAAAGCATTCACATTGTCCCGTCACCGGGTTGCAGGGCATCTGGTAGGAGCCAAGGACTGAACACTGGCAGGCTGAATGAAAAGACATCTGTCAGACCCAGGGCAGCGGGGTGTGGGGCCTGGATAGAGCACGGCGGTGGGCCAGAGAGACCCAAATGCAAGTTCCCGCTATGGGGTTGGTTCAGAGAGGCATGGCTAGGCAGTGACAGACCCAGAGCATTTACCACCACTCCACCCTCCCACTTTTTATTCCTCCATCCAGCAGACTTGGATCAAAGGCCTACTACGCTCAGTGGCACCAAGACTAGATGTGGGGGTGGAGGTAATTAGGAAAAACACACATTCCCTGACCTCAAAGAGCTCAAAACCCAGAAGAGGGGCCAGGGAGTTATTGACATAGTATGAAGCACCTCCCCTGCCCCCACCACTGCCAAGAAACTGTAAGAGAAATGAAGACTCGTGCCCAATGCCACTCAGCCAACTCTTGGCAGACAGCAGGACAAGGACTCCGATCTCCTACTGCCTTCTGGGTCAGAGTTCTTTCATAGCCCCTCGTTACCCAGCCCCGCCCCGGGGCCTATCTGCAGAGATCATGTCCCCACCGAGGGGCACATTATTGAGGAAACGTTCTTGGGTTCTGTGATGGTTAATTTTTATAATGCCAACTTGGCTACACTATGAGGCTCAGATGTGTGGCCAGCATCAATCTAGATATTGCTGTGAACATTGTTTCTTCTTTTAAGATATAATTAATAACTTAATCAGTTATGATTGATAAGCTTGAGTCAAGCAGATCACCTTCCACAATGAGGGTAAGACCTCATCTAATCAGTTGAAAGCCTTAAGAGAAAGACAGAGGGTCCCAAGGAAGAAGGAACTCTGCCCTCGGATTTGAGCTGCAACATCAGTTCTTCCCTGGGTCTCCAGCCCACCAGCCTGCCCTGCAGGTTTTAGACTCGCCAGCCCCCACAATCATGTAAGCCAATTCCTTAAAATAAATCCCTCCCCATACACACACACACACACACACACACACACCTACATCCTATTGGTTCTGTTTCTCTGGAGAGCCCTGATTAACATAAGCTCTTTCTGCTATTTCTGTCTTAAAGGAAAGTGAATACGAAAACACTGGCCCAGTGCCCTAACCAGCCCAGCCGTGGCAGCTCCAACCAGCATAATGTGGGGGACATGGCCCCTGGCTCCTTGGGACACAGATGTTGTCCAGGGAGCCTCAGGAAACACAGTTACCCTCCAGAGGTGAAAACAAAGACCCAGGCTTAAAGGCACGTACATTGTTTTAAATCACGAGTTCCTCAATCTGGCATCACACGTCTCACTTCAATCCAGCTAGCAGGGACAGCTGCCAAATTCCAAACCCAAACGTCAACACTGGTAGCCCCTCCTCCCTCTTGGAAATACTATAATGTCTTACAAACACTTTCATGCTGCTCTTTGTGTCGGTCCAGGTCCTTTGAAGTTTCTGGAGTATTTTTACCTCTTGCCTCCTCCTGTTTCACCTTTAAGACATTTTTACCCCCAAAGAGTATAAAAACTAAGGACAGTAAAGCTCCAAAGGGAGAGGAGTGTGTCTGTTGTGCTCCCCAATGTCTTCCAGCATCACATACAGCCCTGGTCCCAGTATATGTTCCTATTCGTTCATTGAAAGACTACGTAACTACTGAAATCTTCCTGAGGTCCACCCTGTGCGGGCATGCATTCCCTTACTGAATCCTGCAGCATTGCCAAGAGACAGGTATTTTATGAGTAACCCCATTGAGGGGTTTACTTCTCAGTAAAGAAGCTCATCGGATGAGATGAGGCTCCCCCGACACCATGTAAATCACAAGGTAAACATTGCTCCTTATTGCTTCCAGGATGCAGACACTGCCTAGGACTTTGGAGCTTTTCCTTCTGTTGGAAAAGCAGGCTGGCACCTTCTCCAGTCTAAGCCACAAAGCCGGCAGCTGGTAACACCGCACCTGCTACCACCCACCTTTCTGGTTACCTGGGCATCGGGCAGATTCAATCTACAGAAAATTCTCAGGTTTCTTCCAACCAACCACCTTGATGTTCTCCTAGACAAAAACTGAATTACAAAGTGAAGGGCCAGTTCAAGACCCAATTGCACTGAACGTGGCTTCAGACTTCTCCCCACACCCAGCCCTAGGGTTTTGTCTCCCCTCTTGGGAAAGTGGGGAGGGGTCTCCCGGGAGCATCCTGAGCCATAAACCTTCCCTGCAGCAGCATCCATCATTAGCTGGGCCCATTTGGCCTCTTCTCTTATTTGGTTTGTCTGATCCATGGGACTATGCTGACAGGAAGAAGGAGGTTAATCTTGTACTGGCAACCTATTTATAGTTTTCTAAGGAAAGATCTGTCACCACAACCCAAGGACCACAGCGAACTCCAATAGGGACAGTTCCTGGCCCTGGGTCAGGTCAGTGTGGTTGAGGTTTGGGGGCAGCTCCACTTGGCACCCTTTTGGTTCCTAGTCATGGGAGAACCACTTGTTTCCACAACCCACACCTTCCTAGCCTCTGTTCTAAGTGCTGACTAGTTGCTGCCCAGCAAACTGTACCAGGGAAGGCGGGGAGAGAGAGGAGGAGAAGCATGAAGGAGAGGAAAACAGGAATGAGGAATGGAGGGGAGAGGAAAAGCTGGGGGTGTGGTGGGAGGAGGAAAAGGGGGGAGTAAACCCCCCCAAATGACCAAGTTAACTGAGAGAATTACAGTTGTATGCTGTAATTGAAGATAAAGAGGTGAACCAGATATCAACATAAACACAAGTTTTAAATACATATAGACAATTCTCCAATGGGGTCTCCTATCTATGATTTGACTTTCACCTATGAAAAAGAAAACTGCAGGGCACTTGCGTGAGCCGAAATTAAAATAAGAATACGGCACTGTACTTAGAGAAGTCTGGAGCAAATTAAGTTAATGGGAAACGTGAATGCAGAACCGCTGTTGGCAAGAACAACTTAGAAGGATTTTTAAATTCCTCAAGAAGATTTTTTAAATCTTTGAAACAATATAGAGCAAAGCCATAAGAACATTTTTTTGGCTAGAATATACTGGACCATCTGATGATGCAGCATTTGGGGTCATGTTGATTTTATTCTAAAGTTCAGTGGCCAAGCAATCAGTTTTGTCTTAAGAAAAAAAATATCAGATATTAAAATACTGTGTTGGACCTCACCGTTAGACTAAGCTCAGATTTCAGTGAGTCTGAGTCTCAGGCAGTAGCCGCAAAGCCGCCCCCAAGGGAAAATTGTAAAAAGATCACAAAAGCTGTTAGAAAAAGGAAAGAGCAAGAGAAGAGAGACTATCACAGACAGAATTCTTCCAGAACCTAGCGGTCCAAATGGAACCACAAGCTTCAAGGTGCACGCTTACACCATGCCAGGAATATGATGGATGGTGCATTTCCTGCAAAACTTGGCAAACAGTGGTGGTAGGCCCCTCTGAAGCTGGATGTGCTCTGGCAGGGTCCACTGAGACAGGACTTGAGGTGATCTGCTCCCTCTCACCCCCCTGCTGGAGTTCCAAAGCCTGAACAATGCTTTCTCTCACAAGGGCATGGGACTAGTGTACACAGTGAACCTGCCCCTCTGCCTCATTATGTGAGCCTTTCCCTCCACTTGAGCCACGACTTTGAACCACAGCCAGAACCCAAAAGAGGCTGGCCGCACACAGTCACCCAGGGAGCCAGGGAGCACCTGCTCCTCTCCCCCAGCCCCTCTCTGCAGCCCTCGGCACACCTTCTCAGTCCTGTGTTTTCGTGGTCTGCCTTTTGGCCAGTGAGCTCAGATGACTTTGGTTGACCTTTGGAAGCAGAGCTCCAAACCAGCTGTACCAAAAATATAAATGAGAAGATACATTCTTATGTTTCTTAAAACCAGACTCTATCATTTAAACAAGGAATGTTGCATTATGCACGGTGGCAGATCGAAGAGTTTTCATGTCAGGTGTCATCTTCTTAGGAAAGAAAGATGCTACAGTTAAACCTCATAGGCCTTCCTAATCTCTTATAGGACTGGTCACTTTGGGGAACTAGGTTTTCTCCGATTGCTGATGATTTTAGCAACACACAGTTCTGCCACCCTGTTTTGGTTACGGCATCCTGATTTTGTGGTGGCAGGACGGGGGTGGGGGTGGGACAGCTCTTCTCCTTCCTCCACCCGCGCTGTTCAGACTATGGACTTCACTGTGGTTCCCTGGATGTGGGGAGACTCGGGCTTGGCCAGTCAGAGCACGGAATGCCACAGCCATGGGCTTGGTTCAGGAATGGGCACATGATCCAGTCAGAACAGACTTGGCCTGGAGGAATGCACGCTCTTTTCCCTAGACTTGAACCTGGAAGGATGAATGTCGGTCTGGTCAGGCTGCTGTAATAAAATACCATAGGCTTGAACATTCTCACTGTTCCAGAGGTTGGGAAGTCCAAGAGCAAGGTACCAGCTGCCAGCAGATTCGGTTCCTGGGCACTCTCTTCCTGGCTTTCGGACAACTGCCTTCCTGCTGTGCCCTCACATGGCAGAGAGCGTGTCTGTAAAACTCACTGGTGTCTCTTCTTAGAACGACACCAACCCTATCAGATCAGTGTTCCAACCTTTGACCTCATTTAACCTTAATTACTTCCTTACTCCAAATACAGTCACCTTGGAGGTTAGGGCTTCAACGTATGAATTTGAAGGGGACACGATTCAGTCCACAGCGACGTATGTCTAAGAAGTGTCAGCTACCATCTTAACACCACCTGAGACCTCAAAATGAAGCCAACCTACAAGAGAGCAGGCTTGAGAGATGGAGAAAAACAGACCCTGCCAACATCTTTTGAGGATCAACCTGTTCCTGAAACCAAATATGCCCAGAACTACTCAATCACAGCCAATAAATTCTTTTTGCCTTAAGCCAATTTAGGTTAAGTTTTCTGTCACATGAAACTATGGAGTCAAAATTGACGCTTTAATCACCAAAATGTTCTCATTTTAAAAGTACTCTTACCAAATAGTGCTCTTACCAAAATGTATGATGTATCTTCCTTCCTCCTGAAACACATATTCAGA